AAAATATGATCGTTATCCATCATATCAAGTCATCAATTTTGAATTTCTATTTCTTGTGTAGAGCCCAATAACGATTATATTTTTCATTCTCATTCTACAATAATGAGAATCAAGCGGCCCTAAATTTAAAATATCGAATTTTGGCCACTGAACTTTAGACAACGTTGTACGTTACTCATTGATATAACTTTCCTCTCAAACCTCTAATGAAAATGGTAACGTCGCTGACAGCCCCATCAGACCATTAAACTTTGAGATGGCCGATTTTCGACCATTAAACTTTGAAAAATGTCTTCTTATACTCACTGAATTTTGAGGTAATCGAATTTTAACCACTAAACTTTGAAAATCGTATTCTATTGCTCGCTATAAATTTGGATTTAATTAGCTCATGTTTGGGACTCATTCTCATTTTTTTCTCTTATTTCATTTCAACCGTACATTCTTCCAATAAAATAATATTACACGTAAATCTAAAAATTTTCATAACTTTTCCACCACACATTCTTCCATCAATCACTATTCTAAAAAATTTTTATCTTCAAAAAATGGGTGTCAAACTTTTCCACCACACAAGTCTTCATTTGTCTCCCTTTAAAATGAAACTCTTTCATATTATTTTTAACCATACAATTATATAATAAAATATTTTACACATAAACTCAAAAAAAAATCCAATTTTTTTACCCAAACATTGTCCAAAAAATAACTATTTAAAACTTCTATTTTTAAATTAATGCCCATCAAAAAGTGGCTAAATTTCGTTGTTAAAATTCATATTTAATTTAATTTCAACAATAAATATATTGTGTGTTTCATTGCAATTAGCCATTACATTCTCTGCAGAGCCTTGTCTATAACACTATGAATAATTACTCAACTTCACAGTAGTTAAATTTAATTTTAATTTATTTTTGTAGAATTTTACATTATTTTCATCATAATATTTGAATTTTACTACGAAACACAAAATGAATTTGTTGTTAATAAAATTAAATCCAAATTTCAACAACAAATTTTAACTAAATTCAAATTCATAGTGAGTCATAGAAGACGTTTTTTAAAGTTGTGGCTAAAACCGACCGTCTCAAAGATTAGTGGCCAATTTTG